TCCTTGCCTCCCTATTTTTAACCCCTGGTGTCCCCCCCCCACTGAGCCGAGGAAACCCGAGCAAGGATCCCTCCATCGCTCCATCCAGCCCACCTTCTGCCATCCGGCCGGCCGTGCTCCTTCGTCCCCCCCCTCAGCCCCCCTTTTGCCCCAGTGCCAGCCTCCTCGCTGCTATTTTGGGTTTTATGGGAGTCAGCGCCTCCAAGACGCCTCTGGGCTCCCTGCCCTCCAGCCACACAGCCCGGGACATGCCCAAAGGGGGTCTTTTGGGGGGAGGGGGCTTAGGGGGGGAGTGAGCCCCCCCAGGAAGCAGAAGGACCTCCTCCTCTGAGTCTGCCCCCCCCCAGGTGAGCCCTTCGGCGGCTGTCTTTCTCGCCTTCGAATCCAGCTGTTCCCACCACACGGGCGCAGCCTCAACACCGCGACGGGCATCAAAGGTGCAGCTTGGAATGGCAGGGTGAGAAGAGGGCTCTCCACCCCACAAAATGCCCCCCCCCCGGTGGGCAGGGAAGAACCCGGGCAGCCTTTTGGCGAAGGCGCCGAGGAGGCCGGATCCCACCAAGGAGGCCAAAACGACGCAGAGGAACAACCCCAGACCCCTTCCTGTGCCTTTCCATTTTTGTGCACGAGTGGAAGGTTAAACCCAATTAACATTTTGTCAGGGGTGGGTGTCTGTGTGTGTGGCTTCAGTGTTAATGTGGGTCAGTCCTTTCCCAGCTGTCGCATCTCTGTTTGTTCCAATGAAGGCCAGCGCTCCGACGAGGGGCTGCTCGCTCGCTGACGCCTTCTGCGGAACCGGCCGACGGGGCAGGAGGGACATCGCCGCCACCACCCCCACCCCTGGCAGCACAAGGAGGAGCCGCCTCTGGGCCGGCCCAAGCGAGAGAGACCCAGGCCTTTCCTCTCTTCTGCCCAGGTGGACGCCTGTGTAACTCTGTGCTTGTGTGAGTGTGAGTGTGTGTGTCAAAACACAAAGCGGGAGCACAAGGCGCAGCCCGGGCGGCCGTGGCGGCGCTGGTGGCAGAAATCTTTAAGGCAAGCTATGCCCCCGGAGGCTATTTTTAGCCCTCTCCGTGGCCCCAATTGGGCCACGACAGCTGCCGTTATTTTAATCGGTGCAAATGCCGCCTTGGGCCTGGCGGCTTAAGTGAGCTCTGGAATTATTTCGGCTCTTTCTGCTGATCTACAGCCTTATTTTTAAACTGCCTGCCCAGCTCTTCTGACTGCCATTAGCACCTGGGCCAGCGGAAAGCGGGAGGCGGCCGGCCTCGGGCCGAAGCACCTGCTGCCCAGGGGAGGCGGGCTGTCGTGGGAGCTCACCTGCAGCTCACCTGCGGAAGGGCCGGGCCGGGCTGGGCAGGGCAGGGCATGCTTCTCTGAGGCCCCAGAGGGGTCCCCTCCGCCCGGGTCCCACCAGGTCCGGCCGGTCTGCTCCCTGGCCTCCCCCCACTGCGGAGCACGGCCGGCCTCGGGCCGAAGCACCTGCTGCCCAGGGGAGGCGGGCTGTCGTGGGAGCTCACCTGCAGCTCACCTGCGGAAGGGCCGGGCCGGGCTGGGCAGGGCAGGGCATGCTTCTCTGAGGCCCCAGAGGGGTCCCCTCCGCCCGGGTCCCACCAGGTCCGGCCGGTCTGCTCCCTGGCCTCCCCCCACTGCGGAGCAGAGCACTCCCGACGGGCAGAGGCGCCTCCAGCTTGGCCAGGAGGCTGGTTTGGGAGGTGCGCCCGGGCCTTCCCCCCCCCCTCCCAGCTCTCCATCCCACTTGGAAAGCAGACGGGGCGAGCGGGGCACGCGTTTGAGGAGGTGGGGAAGGATGATGGCCTTTGTGTCCTTTTGCTGTTTTGCGAGATTCGCCGCCGAGGGGAAGAGCGAGGCAGGAGGGGGAGCCCAGGTTAAATGACTTTTTAATTCCATCCTTCCAGCTACATATGTTGGCTACGGGTTGCAAGGGACGAATCCAGCCTGGAGATCCGGCTCGCTCAGCTTGCTGGCTTAGTAATAGGTCTCCTTTTCCACCCAGCCTGGCAAAGGAAAGGAAGAGGGGAAGGGACGGTCAGGGAAGGGTGGCAAACGGGGCCTGGCCGGGGGCATTTTCAGCCCCAGCCGGGCCCTCCTGCTCCTGCACACGGGTGGGTGGGTGCACCTTTCTCCACCCCCCGCATTCCTTCCATTCGCAGAAC